AACTGGTGTGCAAACAGGATTTAAGATGGGTTGGAATGCAGAGCAGAACCGGATCCAGAGCACAGTCCCGCTAAGTACACGAGGAATGCACAAAACAGTTTCGTGAGGACCTGCCCATGGGAGGGGCTGGGGAAGAGGGTGTTGGAAGTGGGTCACCAGGAGCCAGTCTGCATTGAGGTGGGCCTTGTCCAGACCTGGAGTGGGGTGCAGAAAGCTCTCTGCACCAGAGGCCCAAATTAAACAAAAATGGGAATCAAGAAGGGGAAACTTGGTTTGGAAATCATTTGTATGCAGAATGTAAGGGTTGCTTTGTTGTCATCCACCTCATTGTTGGACTCAAAGCCACTTCGATTCCTGACACTTTGTATGGGAATGGATTCTCTCTGCAAATGTCCAGGGTCCAGAGGCAGGTTACGTTTTCCACAGTGGCCCCAGCGGTATCTCCAGTCCCATGTGTTTTTCTAAGACTTTTGTCCATCAAGTGAGTCCCCTCTTGAAACTGGGTGAGGTTTCGTCACCACTTCAACGTCAGAGCAGCATGAGGTGGCTGTGACTGGTGACTGAGAGGTTTAGACCAAAGGTGGACCACTTCCACCTGGCTCTTTCTTGGGATGAATGTCGCTGGGTCCGGCTGCCATGTTGTAAGGAAGCCCAGGCCCCGTGCAGAGGGGGTGGGTGGGGTTCGGTCTGAGCCAGGATTGCCCAGCAGACATGCGAGTGAGCAAGCTTGCACACTGCTGGCCCTGAACCTGCAGCACGTCTGCTCAGAGCAGATGTGAGCACATGACTGGGCACTGCTCCCTGGTACTGTCTGGGAGTTTAAGCAGCCTCTGTGCTCCCTGGGGTGGGCCTGCCTGTGGGCGTTTTCTTTCGTCGTGGATTCTGGCCTCCCAGAAGCTCACCTGAGGACCCAGGAGAGCACTCAGTGAGCCTAGTTAATCCTGATGCTGGCTGGATCCAGTCACCATCCCCCACTTTGCTGTTGGGTGAAGGGAGGGCGTTTCGAGGGAGCTTAGAGGGGAGGGGGCTGCAGCCAGGCCCTGCTTCGTCCAGGGTGCGGTGAACAGGCAGCTCTGCGTTCCAACTCATTCAATCTCCTGGTTGGCATGTTTAGTCCAACCCTATCACAGGCTGCAAAAGGCCCAGCTGTGTCCGAGGTGCTCCTGGTCAGGGAGACACCTGCACAGTCCGGAGGGAAGGGCCAGACTGTTTCTAACTAAATCACAGGAGGCAGATTGAACCACAAAACACAGTAATAAACCTGTTATTAAAATGCTTAAGAAATGACTCATTTGCAAACCAGTGTTCCTAAAATGAAGTGTTTAGGGGTCTGGTTTATTTTTTTGTTAATCCTTACTCGAGGATATTTTTTCCATTGATTTTTGGACAGCAGAAGAAAGGGAGGCAGAAAGAGAAACATGCACGTGAGAGAGACACATCAATCAGTTGCCTGCAGCACATACCCCATTAGGGGCCAGGGCTCAAACCTGCAGCCCAGGTGCGTGCCCTTGACGGGGAATCAAACCTGGGACCCTACTATTCTCGCCGATGCTCTAAGCACTGAACCACACCAGCCAGGGCTGGGGCCTGATGAAATAAACCACCCAGCTGTGTCTACAGCACCCGTGTCCTTACGAGCACTGTGCTGCTCCGTCTGAAACAAGGTGTGGCCTTAAGTAGGTCACGTGTGATCTTGCACTGCCGTTCTTGAACTCTGGTCCGGAGGCCCTTTCACCTTTTTAAACAAACAGCGCAGCCCCGGCTGGTGTGGCTTAGCGTCAGCCTGAGAACTGAAGGGTCTCATGTTTGATTTCCTGTCAGGGGCACGTATCTGGGTTGCAGGTTGTGCGGGAGACAACCAACCAATGTGTCTCTTTCTATCTAAGGAAAAAAAAAAAGGAAAAATAGCCTTGGGTAAGGATTAACCAAAAAAAAAAAAATGGCACAAACAAGAACATCACCACTCTCCAATGAGCCCAGAGCACTGGTTTCCCCAACAGGAGGCCCCCGCGAGCCAAAGGTCTGTGGGCGGCATATCCAAGCCCTACCGATGCCCAGGCAGTGGTGCGTGCCCGCCTGCCACAGCCCATTCACGGCTGTGGGTGGAGGACAAGGAGGCTGAACTAATGAAAGAAGGAAGGGGTGGAAGCCACCTAGATCAACAGTGTCCCAGACCCTGGGCATCCTCCTGCCATGGGGGCTTAAAGACCCCAACAGGAGCTTGAGGAAAAGCAGGGCGCCTGGTCTCCCACACCCCACGGTCAGGACTCTGCATGGACAGCCTGTTTCCTTTGCCTCTCAAAGCATCCCTCCTGGGCCGTCTTTGAACTGGAATCTGTGGCTGCCAGGCGCTCCTGTCCAGGGATCTCCCCTCCCCATCATTCCTGGGGCACCCTCCTCAACCTCGCCTGGTGGAGCCCATTTTCTCTCCCTTCTTTTACTTTCTCATTTTGGTGGGGTGCATCTCCCAGTGTTTTCCTGGGCCAGGAGGCCACTTGCCTCAGTGGAGATGCAGGTGCCCCCTCTGCTGCTAAGGGAGAATGTGCTTGCATCGAGGGCCCGGCCGCCATCCCTCCTCCTGTGTTCTCTCCCAGCTCCACGTGCTGGGGATGGAGAAGGCAGATCCTGTCTCATCCTGAGATTTTCTGTTTGAGCCGCATTTCCCCACCTCTGGAAGCTTTGCTTGGATCTTCTTGTCCCAAGTGACATTCACAATGTACCCTGTGTGACTCAATCAGCAAAATCATGTCTTTTAGTCTGGGACAGTTTCTTGAATTATTTCCGTTTTCTTTTTCTTTGCTGGAGCTACTAATAGTCAGATACTAGAATCCAAGAAGTTCAAAGAATTGGCAAGCACAAGAAACATGAAAAATACGCCACAGTTCTTCATGATTTCTAAAACAATACTGAAAATGAACAAAGGACACACACTTCCCGATTTCAAAACTTACCACAAAGCTACAGTAATGAAAACGGTGTGGCACTAAAACAATACTGAAAATGAACAAAGGACACACACTTCCCGATTTCAAAACTTACCACAAAGCTACAGTAATGAAAACGGTGTGGCACTAAAACAATACTGAAAATGAACAAAGGACACACACTTCCCGATTTCAAAACTTACCACAAAGCTACAGTGATGAAAACGGTGTGGCACTAAAACAATACTGAAAATGAACAAAGGACACACACTTCCCGATTTCAAAACTTACCACAAAGCTACAGTAATGAAAACGGTGTGGCACTGGCATACAGACAAACATAGACCAATGGAATAGAACTGACAGTCCAGAAATAAAACCATACATCTATAGTCAATTGATTTTCAGCAAGACGCCAAGACCAGTCAATGGGGAAAGAATGTCTCTTCAACAAATGTATACAGCCTGGCCGGTGTGGCTCAGTGATTGAGCACCAACCCATTCACCAAGAGGTCACTGGTTTGATTCCAGGTCAGGACACATGCCCAGGTTGGCCCACGTTGTGGGCCAAGTCCCCAGTAGGGGGCGTGCAGGAGGCAGCCAACTGATGTTCTCTCTCATCGATGTTTCTGTCTCTCCCTCTCCCTTCCTCTCTCAAATCAATAATAAAGAAAAAGAAAACAAAACCCAAACAGATACAAATGAAAACCTACATATAAAGGATGACATTGGCCTGGCTGGTGTGGCTCACTGGTTTGAGCATTGTCCCATGGACTGAGCAGTCCCAGTTCGATTCCTGGTCAGTGCACATGCCCAGGTTGTGGGCCCGAACCCCAATGGGGGGCATGCAGGAGGCAGCCAATCGATGTTCTCTGTCATTGATGTTTTTATCTCTCCCTCTCTAAAATCAATAAAGAACAAATAAAAACACATTAAAAAAAAAAATGACATTGGACCCCTACCTCACACGGTATATAAAAATACCCCTACCTCACACTGTATACAAAAATTAACTCATAATGAGCCAACTTTGAGCTAAAAGTATAGAACTCAGAACAAAATAGGAGCACATTTTCATGACTCTGGATATGGCAATGAGTTCTTAGGTAGAATTCCAAAAGAAAAGCAGAGACAAAAATAAATTGGACTTCATCAAAGTTAAAAATTGCTGTGCCCCCAAGGTTAATTATTAAGAAAGAAAATAAATACCCAACCGAATGGGAGAATATAGTTGCATATCCTAACTCAGATAAGGGTCTAGTTCTAAAAAATAATGAACTATTCTACAACTGAACAAAAAATGATAATTTAAAAATGGGCAAGGACATGAATGGACACTTCTCCAATGAAGATATAACAATGAAAGGAAGCCCAGTGTCACTGGTCATAAGGGAAAGGCAAATCAAAACTATGAGACGTGCCCTGGCCGGTTTGGCTCAGCAGTTAGAGCATCAACCCGCAGACCAATGAGTCTCAGGTTCGATTCCAGGAAAGGGCACCTACCTTGGTTGTGGTCTTTCCTTGGCCCTGGTCAGGTCATGCGGGAGGCAACCAGTCGATGTGTTTCTTATTCCTCCCCTTTCTCCCACTCTATTTGATGATAAATAGAAAAAAATATCTTCAGGTGAGGGTTAAAAAACACCACGAGAAGCTAGGTCACCATCTACTCCCATGACTATAGAAAAGCAATCGCGTGTTGGCAAAGACAAACAGAAACTAGAACCTCGTGTACAACCACTGGGATACAGTCTGGCAGTGCCTTAAATAATTAACCATGGATTCATCACACTGCCCAGCTGTGCCAGTGCTGGGCATACACCCAAATTACTGAAAAGTCATTCAAGCCAATGCTTGCACACAAATGGTCATAGCAGCACAATTCACAATAGCCAGAGAGTGGAAACAACATAAGTGTCCATCAACTGATGAACAGATAAACAAAATGTGGCATGGCCACACAATTATTATTCAGCCATAAAAAGGAATAAAGTACTAATAACCTGCTATAAAACGAACCCTCAAAATATGTTAAGTGAAATAAGCCAGACACACAAGGCCACAGATTGTATGATCCCATTTATCCGAAACGTCCCAAATTGACAAACCATATAGCGACAGAAAGCGATCAGCGGCTGCCAGGAGAGGCGGGAGGCAGGGAGGGGAATGTCTGCTTAGGGGCGATGGGAATGTTCTGGAACTTGACACAGGTAGTGACCGTACAACAGCGTGAATGTAACCAGTGCCCTGAACTGGACATTTGAAATGTGTTCATTTTTGGTATGTGAATTTCACCTCAATTAAAAATAACCCAAACACTCAAGCCACTGAACCCACCCATCCCTGAGCAGACAACACTACTGCATGGGGGTCCCTGAGCTCATCCACACCTCAGCCCCCCTGCTGCTCCCCATTCTGGATGCTTCTCTGGGAAAGGCACTTCCTCTGCCTTCAGTCCACTCTGCCCCAGTCCTTGCCTGGGTTCACCTACCCAGCCGAGTTCCCTTTTCATAAGATTTCCTTGTTGAAACATTTTTGAAGAAAAAATTAAAAAAAAGCACATTCTAATAAATCATAGATTCATCCAAGTGTCAGGTGTTAATAAAAGGGAAACTAACATTTCTGCTGGCCTTGGGCTGAGTACCCTACACCCACTCCTTGCTGCCATGGCAACAGGGCAATGCCCAGCACCAGACAGTTACAAGGCACACAGGCTGTTGCTTAGTGTTTGTGAGAGCACAAGAGCAGGCGGCATGTGCGCAGGTCAGAGCTGGGCTGCAGCCCCGCCAGCCCTGGGTTCCAAGGCACTTGCTGACTTTGTCTTCCGGTCCCGCTCCCGAGCTGCCACAAAGTTCAGCAGGTCAATGGCAGTGACGACCCCGAACACCATCTGCTTCTTATTGGACTTCCCGTGGCTGTGGTCTAGGGAGGGAACAAGGCAGTGGGTTAAAGGCATCTCCACATGGAGCCGTATCCACCCCTGGGCGCTGTCAGAGGCTGAACCACAAAGTCTGGCCCTGGGGGACCAGTCCTGAGCCTGCCCCAATGCCTACAGGCACCTGTGTGCTGTTGGGCAGCACCCACGGAATCCCAGCAACAGATGCCTTCAGCTGACAAGAGCCCATCTGGTAGAAGCTGCAGAGCGCAGAGTACCGACCTCTGAGCCATGCCCACTGGTCACACACCTGGGGGCCTCACTGATTCAGAGCAGCCTGTGGGTCTGTCTGGATGCCCAAGGCTCAAGTCTTGGCACAAAATTCCAACACCAAGCATACCCACGAGCTACATCAGCTCACATCTCTGGCCTGTGATTGTCTTCAAACCCATGTTTTTTCCCTTGGGCTTAGAATGAATGCTGGCCCCGGGCCCCTGAAGAGCAGAGAGGATTGTTGAAATGGTTTGACTTGACTGGGCCACGAAGTGCCCAGATTTGGTCAAACATTATTCTGGGTGTTTCTTGCCGAGATCAACATTTGAATCAGTAGGCGGAGTAGAGCAGATTGCCCTCCCTGATGTGGGTGGGCCTCATCTAATCAGTTGAAGGCCTGAATAGCCCAAAATGTGGCATGTCCACACAATTATTATTCAGCCCCCCACGTAAGAGGGGACTTTTTCAGCCTTTGGACTTGGACTGAAACATTGGTTCTTCCTGGGTTCAAGCCTACAGATCACGGGACTTGTCAGATTAGTCATGTAAGCCGACCAGTCCTAAACAAATCTCTCTCCACACACCCCACTGGTGGTTTCTCTGGAGAGCCCATACTGACAGTCGTCATGAAGCACAGTGAGCCAGGTGGAGCTGGGGGTGGGAAGCACGCAGTTCGCATTTACCCTGTTAGATCCCATCCCACAACACTAGGGCCATCTGTCCTTAGGGTAGGAGTGGGGGGAGACACAGAGGAGCCAGGCACCTGCAGGCCTACTCTGAGCACCTCAGAAGAAAACAGCAGCCCAGAGACCAGCTCCCCATGATTCAGGGACTTCCAGGCAAAGTGGCACTTGAGGGAAGGGTGTGCCCCACAGGGGAAGGTGGTCTGCAACCTGGCACTCCAGACCCCAAAGGCTCATGGACAGCGGCTGTCCACCTTTGTAAAGGGCCACAGTCTCTGTTACAGCCCACAGTTCTGCCAGCAGCACGAGGGCAGCGTGGACACGGTACCAGGCGTGGCTGTGACCAAGGACCCTTCGTGTGATGGACCCTGAAACTGGAACTCGTCATTCTGGGGGGATGTTCAAATATGAGTAGACAGACGAAGAGGAACAACTCTCCCACCCAAGCTCTGGGTCTGGGAGCCGTGGTTCCGAGGGCAGAGCCGCCTCCGGAAGGAAGACAGCGCGTACATACCTGCAGGCCCCCCCACCTCTCCTGCCAAGGCCTGGTCCCGCGCTGTGGAGCCAAGGACGGGAGAGGGTTAGGCTCGGCTGCCCAGGCCCTGAGACGGCACTCCCACTTCTCGGGACTTCTACAACCCCTCGCCCTTGTGGGCACCCAGGCCTGGCCCACAGAGGGGTCCCTCGGAGAGCTGTGCCCACGGCTGGGGTGGCTGAAGGTCAGCATGACTCCGGGTGCCCGTGCGGCACCAGGTCCTCCTGCCACGCAGGAGCTCGGCCCCACCCGCCCCCACCCAGCCCCACTTACACTGGATCTGCTCGTGGACCACCAGGGCGAAGTGGTCCATCTCCAGGATGCGCGACAGCGTGCCCAGCGGGTCCGTCAGGCGGATCTGGAAGAAAAGCGTGGTCGGCGCTCACCAGGGCAGCCCAGCCAGGCCCGCGGCAGAAAGGAGCACAGGGCAACGGGGCAGGCTGGGCATCGCTCCAGAAGGTTCTTCTGCAGCCTCTTGCTGACTGAGAAACAATGCAGGGATCAGAGGCCAGCGTGACAGAGAGACACTGGGTGAGCCACCAACCCATGAAGACGGAAGATTCGGTCCACGTCGCCGTGCAAGAGCCACTCAGAAAGGCTGCCCTGCTGGGGCTCCAGCTCTAGGACCTTCTGGAAAAGGGGTAACTCAGAAGGTCGGTGGTGCCAGGGATCGGGGGAGGGAGGGAGAGAGAAATGGGGGATGTGGGGCCATAGACACACTGTAACCCTGGGAGACGCTGTCGTGGACATGTCACTAGACCCTGTCATAGCCACAGAACTGTGGGACAAAGGCTGATCCCTCATGAGCAAACGAGGGGCTTCAGTTACTGACCCTGCGAGTTCGTCAGCGGTAGCGAATCCTAACACCACTGCGCTGTGCAGCACAGGGGAAGCCGCAGGGGCGGGGACATGCGGACTCGCTCTGCACTACCCGCTCCATACACACATCCTGGGGCCGTCGAGCAAACAGCACCCAGGCTCTGTCCTTCAGCCTGCAGTGCGACTGGGCTCACCTGCGGCCCCGGGGAGGCGCGTGTGACGAGACAGGAAAGGGAAACACAATGGACAGAGCCCGGGAAAGGCAGGCAGTGGGGTCAGACACCGGCCTAGTCACAGAGACATCCGTCCGCTCCCAGGCGGAGGGGTGAGGCTGACCCACGGTGCCCCCTCCAGGCTCACCACCCCACTCAGTCCACAAGCCACCCTGACCCGGAGGCCCTGCTCCCTTCCACCCAGTCTAGGTGGGGCCACCTGCAGCCCCCTAGGGAACGGCCACCTGGACACCCTGCCCCCATCACCAGCACCCGGCCGGCGCTGGCACCTGGCACAGCTCACTCGCCAGGAAGACCCTGGAAAGGGGGCTGGGGACAGCCCTAGGGCTGCTCTCGGCCCAGCTGTGAAACACAGAACCAAGGGCCAGACGCGGGGACGTTTGCTGTTGGAAGACTAAAGGGCCTGTCCTTCTGGAAGTCACGCCCAGGAGCCCCAGCAGGTGTAGCTTCCTGCGAGGCAGGCAGGGATGCTCAGGTGAGGACAGAGGCGCCCCTCAGGGGGATCAGCTTTGGGGTACAGAGGTGACTGCTCTGCAAGAGGAACTCACGTGGGCCCATAATTCCATCTGATCTTTCTGGTTTTAAATGCTCGGGAATCACAGACAGGTTACAGGGAGCGGGAAAGGGAACGGGCTAACCACGCTCCCACCCAGCGTGCCGAGCGTGATGGGACCTGAACTACTCGGGCAGCACATTCTGTGGTCTCTCCCTGTTACAGGGCTGGGGTGAGGGGCGCTGCAGGGACCACGTGATGGGCGATGGCACTGGGGATGGAAATGGCGAGAATATATGGATTCTGGTGACATTTCAGGTGTGTGCATGTGTGAGAGAGAGAGGAAAAGAGGAAAGTCAAGTTCTTTTCTAGGTTGGGGCTCAAGCTCAGTCCTCACTGGGAAGTCAGAGAAGGCGGGTGTCAGGGAGAGAGGACGCCCCGATGGCACTGCCCTCAGGGACATCGAGAGCCGTATCGCTGGTTCTGCCCAAGCCTGTCAGTGGCCAACACTGTCTCGGGACAATCACGGGGGTCTGACCAGCCTCAGCACATCAAAGGGTGACGTCGTACTCCTCCCAGAACATTCTAGTTCTTATGAAATCATTAGGCGTACCAGGTGTTCTTAAATGAATGCTTCACAGGGAAAAATGAAGGCCCAATGTTATGAAACTGACCCCCAGGTGTAGCCAAAATACGGTGGGTGTGGCGAGCTCAGGGATGGGGGCCTGTCCCAACCAGGGCTTCTGGTGCAAAGCTGGGGGGATCGCGGACGGACAGGGTCGAAGCCACACGGGCGGGCGCAGTCAGGACCTGGCCCTGCACAGGAAGCCCTGTGCCCGCCTCCAAGGACGGAAGCGGGTCTCGGCTCCGGCGATCGGGGCTCCTACCTGCTTGAACTGCTTGTAGATGACCTTGTGGACTTGGTCCGACGGCTGCACCTTCCCCGCGAGCAGGCAGGACAGCATGTTCCCCAGAGTCACCATCCCCAGGATCACCCTGGGGGGCGGCAGGTCAGCGACAGCAGAACATCCCCACAGCCTCCCTCCCTCCGCCTCAGCGTGGTCTTTGGCCAGTTTCGGAATTCCTCTTAGAATTCAACAGATACCCGCCGAGCACCCACACGTGGCCAGAGAGCAGGTCGGATGCCCTGCCCGGACCATCAGTGGCAGACAGTGGCCCAGTGGGCCCTCTGGGTGTTTCCGACTGACAAGTGTCAGTCATGGGACTTGGGTGCTAGACCCGGGACAGCCCCAGAGCCTGGTGGCCACTGGGGCCTGCTGCCACCCTCCCACGGTCAGACATCTGGGTCAAGGCCAGTGATGTCCAGCTGCCCCCGTGCTCACACTGACGCAGTGGGGTGGACACAGGGTTCATACGGCAGCCCTGTCCTGGAGAGTGGCTGACACTGACCCCGATTCGTCGACCACAGGCGCCTGGTCGAAGCCCTTCTCTCGGAGGATCTCGATGGTGTGCTCACAGGTGACCGTGGGCAGCACTGTCAGTGGAGCCGACAGGCTCAGCTCCTGAACTCTGAGGTGCCACCACCTGAGGGCAGAGGGCAGGGGGTTGTGAGCCAGCAGCTGGGAGCCAAGGACAAATACCCTGACACAGGCCAACACCCCACAGGGAGACCATGGGGACGACCAGCCAGGCCTGGGGCAGGGCACGTGCACCCAGGTTCCAGGGACGGGTGTTCCGCAGCTACAGGCGGTTCTGGGGTGTGGGCCCTGCTCAGAGATGTCCTCACCAGGGCTTCTTCACCGTGAGGTCCTCCTCCTTCAGGAAGCCCTTCTGCAGCATCCACCTGTCACTCAGGAATTTGGACCTGCAGGTGTCAGGAGGTCAGCAGGGCCTGGCCGAGGGTCTCACCACCACCTCTGCCCATGCCAAGGGGCACAGTTCTCACAGAAAGCCCAGTGCCCCTCCCCAGACCCCAGGGGTCCAGCAGAGACCCCAAGAGGTTGGCTGGAGCTCCAGAAGAGGCCTGGGAACCAGACACAGTCAAGGTCACCAGCGGCGTAAGCCCTGTGTCCCTGGGCCTGGAGGAAGCCCCGAGGGTCCTGGGCAGAGGGCTAGATCCCTGTCCGCATCCGCCCCCAGAAGCTGCTGCAGAGCAACCTTGGCCCAGTTTCAGCCGGGGACCTGGTGGGGCTGTGGCATGTGCCCGGGGTCTGGACAGTCTGGGCACAGAGTGAACAAATCAGACCCACTGGCCAGACATTTCACAGGAAGCGCTGAGGGCCACCTGGTCCCAGGAGCGCTCCAGCCAGAGTGCGGGTGACACAAAGGCCAAGTGGGGTGGAGGACCGAGGCCTTCGTAGGGCCCTGCGTCCTTACCCTCCCTAGGCTGGTGCTTCAGGCCCAGGGAGCTCACAGGAGCGATGGGGGTATGAGGGGTCGCGGCAGGAACGGGGCGCTCCCCCATGAAGGGTCCTGCGGGCATGTGGATGCATCGTTTTCACTGCATCTGGAAGACCCCAGACAGGGACAGGGGGCCCGGCAGGCTGAGAAAACGAGCTCCCTGACCTGGCAGAGCCCTGGCCCCACCCCCGCCTCCCAGCCGTCAGATCTCAGATCAGCGGGGCAACCGCAGCATCCAAGGGGGTGCCGGGGCGACAGGCCTGGCGGCGGGAGGAGCACGCGGCTTCTTACATGTAGTTCCGGACAGAGTCGGGCAGGACCACCACGCAGCGCTGGCCCTCCCGCAGCCCCTGGGCTGCCCGCACGGCCACCGACATGGCGCTGCCCGCACTGCCACCTGCCAAGAGGGCGGAGTCAGGCCGCGGGGCCAGAGGGAAGTGAGGAGCCTTGTTCCATCTCTTGGCCACGGAGGCCCTGCAGATGGACCCCCTCCCGCACCCCATCCCAGCCTTGGACCCCTACTGATGGGGAGCCCCCAACCCAAGGACAATGCTGGTCTTGATTGAAAACACCAAGTGTCCTGATCTCTGGCCCCAAAACACAAACACACCTATGACGGTGCTGCCAGGTCACCTCTTGGGGCCACACCCTGGCCCCACTGATTGTGCCGGGAGCACAAAGCCAACAGCTGCTTCCCTTCCGTCAGACTGTAGGGCTCGCTGCGTCCCCAGACCCTCGCAGGGCTCCGTGCCCTGCCCCCTTCTCAGCAAGGCCGGGAAACAGCAGGGACCCCGGGAACACTGACCCATAGCTCCGGCCCCACTGGGACAGGGTACTCCTGCCTCGCCTGCGGAGTGACCGCCAATGTGGAGGACAGCACCCGGGGAAGCTGCCAGGCAGCCTCAATTGGACGGAGCTGGCGGGAGGCAGCGCCCGCCCGCCCTCTGCACCCCGCCCGCCACAGCGCCCACCCGCCCTCTGCACCCCGCCCGCCACAGCGCCCACCCGCCACTCACCGCACAGCAGCCCCTCCTGGGCAATCAGCATGCGGGCAAAGGCAAAGGACTCCTCGTCGTTGCACTTGAACCACTTGTCCACCACCTGCGGGCAGGACCCAGACTGCCGGCTCCAGGAGGGGCTCGGGCAGGTGTGCACTGGGGATGGGCACCCACAGCTGTCCTTGCACCTTCAGATAACCTCAGTCCAGACAGCTGTGCCCTCGATGGCAGCTGCCCCTGCTCCGGGGTGAGGCTCGTCTACAAACTTGGAGCTCTCTCCCTCTCCCTGGCCAGCGCGTTCTGCACGTGGATGTTGAAACTGCCCCCTGCTCCTGCCGCCGGCCACACGTCCTGCCAGCTGGACTCTACATCCCTCAGAACAAGCCCCTCGGGTCCTAGGAGGAGCCTGTTCTGGGGTCCTTACCTCTCCCACGTTCTCCTTGCTCAGCCACCCAAGCTCCTCCCTCTAGAGGCCTGATCTGTGCACAGGGGCCAAAGCCAAACCCCTGGCAGTCTCTGCCCAGCAGGCCACATCACAGACTGGGATATGGTGCAGGGTGTTACCTGGTCTTGACCTTCAACTCTGCCCTTCCTCTACCTGCCTGTAGGGGTCATGTTTCTGTGTCCTCGCTGCCCCCACCCCCAGCAGGAAAGCCAGGCCAGGCGCCTGTGGTCAGCCAGGCATGCAGACATGCAAGTTGGTTAAAGGACAAGCCCTGAGAGCTGGCAGCAGTCCCCTCGGCCCCACCTACCGTCCGGTCCAGCACCGTGGGGATGAAGTCATAGCCGATCCCTTCGACCTCGTAGGCCGTCAGCTCCGTCCGGTTCAGCTCCTCGGGCTCCGCGAGGATGGAGCCTTCGGGATCCACCCCAATGATCTACATGGGGGCAGCGTTAGGGCTCGTGTCCAGCAAGTCAACCTGGACGCCCCTGGCTATCATCAGGGCAAGACCACCCCCAGGCGCCTGTCAGTGGTCTGCCCCCGGGATGCAGGTCGTCCCGGCTCCGGGCCATACTTGACGCCCAGAAACCTGGGAGCTGGGGTGGTGACCACTCAAGGGGACAGCCGGCACATCGCCCTGGGGGCCAGCGGAGCCTCGGGAACCAGGAGAGTGCCGGGCACTGACCGGTTCCGCGACAGCAGAGCGGTCAGAGGCAGGGAGCGGGCTCAGCACCAGCAGCAGGTGTTTCTATGGGCCCCGCCCAAGCCCACTCGTTTCAAACCCAGTGCCCCCCCCCCCCGCCTCTCAGAGCCCCACACGGCAGGTGCAGGACCTGAACCTCAAAGCTTAGAGCTTCTAGTGATCCTTGGGGGCCACTCAAAGGGATTCCCACCCCGGCTCACTCGATCTCTGGATGCTTCCATCTCCTGGGCGGGGCCGGCAACCCCTCACCCGGCAGCCCTGGGCCACTCACCTGGCACCCAGGACACTTCTCCTTCAGCTTCCTGGCAATGCCCGTGATGGTGCCGCCTGTGCCTGCCGAAGCCACCAGCATATCCAGCTTCCCTGATGGGGCAGAAGCCACTTCATGAAGAACGTTCTCATACGTGAAAACACGCTCGACCAACACGAGACAGGTTATCCGCAAGGTCCAAAGAAAACCTGTCTCCGACCTCCACAGCCTTTACTTTAAGAAGCATTCAGTCACCGGGTTACACACAGGACCCAGAGTGTCACTTAAGTCTCTGCTGAGTGACATGTGGTCACGGAACCTCTATTTGGTGTGAAGCCCGTGGGGAGGCCCGGGGAGGACGGACGTGCGGCTGCCTGTGGGGGCGGGGCACAGGGAGGCTCCTCCACGACGCACCTGCCTATGCTGTGTGGTTTTGGACAATGTGAATAAGTTCACTGAATTATAAAGGGATAAAATAAATCACTCAGGTGAGGCTCAGAAATCACGTGGGCTCCCCTGCTGCCGGGCGCCAGCCCAGGCGTCCTGCAGACAAGTCCGCACGGGCGCCCGTGCCGGGGAGGAGGGCCGTCTTTGCCAAATAAGACAGTTCTCACACATGAAACCCTGGTGGGCAAATGCCTGGACCTCACTGAAGGCTCCTGGGGATGGCATGAGGCTGCACGCAAGCCAATGCCAACACTGGACGCCAAACAAGAAGCTGGGGTGCCAATCACCTGGCAGCATCCCCTAAAACCTCTGAGGGAAACAGCCCAGCAGAAACATCATCCCCGGGCCTTGGCACCAGGGCAGGGGCAGGTCCCGGGAAGCCTCAGGTATGTAGAGAGTAAGCTACTCGTGACATCACCACCCAGGAGGCGAGAAAACCTGGATGTGGAATTCAGCACTCAAGTCGGGGCCTGATGCCCAGCGCCCTTTAGCAAGGTGGAGCCCCAGCCGTGAGCCCAGCACCAGCCTAGGAGACACTCACTCCCTGTACTCAGGAGCCCCTCCAGCTCTGAGGACAGACTGCTGGGGGGACAAATATGATTGCGTGATGCATTTGGTTTAGAAGAGGCACAAAGTCCAAGAGAGCACGACAGAAGTGGGAAATCGCTCTAGAGAAATGCTCTAAGCAGCATTTCACAGAGAGGGGACATTTGATCTGGGCTTTGAAGGATGAACAGGAGTTTACCAAGGAGTGGGTAAGTAACATGTCCACTCCCAGGCACCCCGGGAGAGAGTGCAGGTGGGCAGGGGTCAGGGAGAAGCACACACCGTCACACTGCTGCAGGATCTCCTCGGCCGTGCTGTCGTAGTGAGCGACCGGGTTGTTGACATTGCGGTACTGCACGGAGAGAGCAGAGGGCGGAGGGAAGGTCAGAGGCACGGACAGGGCCGCAGGCACACGGCTCAGCACAAGCCAGAGAGGATTCCAGCGGCTCAAAGAAGAGAGGCCAACGGCACTGGCCACACGCGGAGGTCCTACCGCTGGGGAAGCCAGTGACCGTGTGCCACTCACTGTCAGGGCCACTCCTGCTGCAATGTGGCACCACCACCCCTCGGCACAGGGCCCCCAGGACTGCCACGCTCCAGTCTGCACTCAGAGCAGGCACCCCAGGCCCGAGCCTCACCTGGTCCAGGATGTGAGAATTGGGAATCTCGTTCTTCAGCCTCCATGCCACCCCCACATGTGACTCGGGGGAGTCGAACCTGGCATTGGTGGGTGTCCGCACGATCTCAGCCCCCAGGGCCCGCAGGACGTCCACCTGGCGGAGGAACGCCAAGCCTTTACCCACCTGCCAGGCCTACCGAGCTGGGCAGGGGGCCCGGGAGACGGCCTGCCTGCTGCCTACCTTCTCCATGCTCATCTTCTCTGGCATGACGATGATGCAGCGGTAGCCCTTCACTGCCGCAGCCAGGGCCAGCCCGATCCCTGGGGACAGCACACGGTGAGAGCCCGCCCCCGCCCCCGCGGCTTCGGCCGGATGCCCGGGACAAGCCCCGGAGGCCCCCGGCGGAGGCACTGCGGGATTGAGGCGAGCCCCGGACTGCAGTTACTGCTAGGACGCGTGATTTGTGGGGACTGCAGGCAATGGAGTGACATGTACTTTGCCTGTGAGAAGGACATGGATTTGGGGCCAGATGGCAATGTTCTGGGCTGAATTCTGTTCTCCAAAATTCCTGTGTTGAAGTCCCAACCCCCAGCACCTCAGAAAGTGACTGTTTGGAGACGGGTCTTTGAAGAGGCAAATAAGGTTACATGAAGTCACTGTGCTGGTTCCAAATCCCATGACTGGTGTCCTCATAGAAGACGGGACACAGACACACGGAAAGGGATGGCCACGCGAGGACACAGGGAGAGGACAGTGTCTGCACCCAAGGAGAGGGGCCTCGGGCGGGGGCAGCCCTGCAGAGCCCCCTGTGCTATGTATTGTGGCAGCTGTCAGAGGCCACCAGCCGGGCGTCCCCAGCTTGTCCCAGCGCGCACCTGTGTTCCCGGACGTCGGCTCAATGATGGTGTCCCCGGGCTTCAGGGTACCGGCCCGCTCGGCCTCCTCGATCATGCGCAGGCTGATGCGGTCCTTCACGCTCCCGCCAGCGTTGAAGAACTCACACTTGGCCACTGGGAGCAGACGAATCATGGGACAGGAAGGCCCCGGACCCCTAACAGAACCCTGCTGTCCCCTCCCCCCATTGCCTGATCCACCCGATGCAGGGCCACGTGGGCCCTCTCCACTCCCACCCACCGCAAAGCTGGCGTTGCTCCTCCCGCCTGCACAGGACCCGTGGCGACCCCTAGGGAGTGAGACAGCAGCGCCCCAAGGGGCCCCCACTGGGTGGATGGGTTGGAACCCCCTCCAGCACAGTCCCAGCAGTAGCTCGCTGGGCATACAGTGGTCCGGCTCATCGTCTCCCCGGACACGGCCCACCACGGAGGCTCCCCGCTGCCTCCCTGCGTGAACACATCCCTGCTCGAGGCCTCTGCTCTGCCCTCTCCTCGGGACAACGGCCTCCTAGCTCCTGAAAATACCAAGTGTTTGCCGGAAGAGGGTGATGCCGCACCGGATGGGACCTGAAGACCCCGGGCCAGCCTGCGACACGCACACCACTTCCAACCTTGTCTGTCCGGGTTTCTGAAACCCCCTCCAGTTTGTCCTCTGGCGCAGGAAAGGCCCTGCCGGGACGTGTGTGCACGAGCGCGTGTTCGGTGGGGAGGGGCTCCCAGATGCCTGACTGCTGGGCGGCCTGCACCCCAGGACCTTTCGAGGCCTCACACTTGCCCGAGGTGGGCCAGCAGTAAGCAGGGATCTGAGCTGACCAGCTGAAGGCCTCGGGCACGCCACGCGGCCACGGTCTGTCCTTGTGTGGAATGGACGCGCTAGGACTGCACCGGGGCTACTGCCCAGCCCCGACGTGGCGGCCCACACCTCTCTCGTGAGGCGAGAGCCCAGAGCAGGCCCGGCCGCCGGGTCCCCGGGCACCCCAGCTCTGTGCACTGATCTTAGCTTCTTCGAGAACTCTCGCCGGAGGGCCGGGGGGCTCTGCTGCTCGGCCCTCAGGAGACCGGCCTCAGTGCCTCCCTCGGGGCCAGGCCTGGCCTCCGGGGTCTCATCCCACCCTCGTGCCTGGTCCCCTGGGGCACTGGCACCGCTGTTTCCCCTGCGACACAGTGGCAGTCTGCTTGGGCCCCGAGGACAGTGCCAGGGAAGAAATCCCCACCCTCTTCCGTTCCCAGAAACTACTTCCTGCAAAGCAGCCCCTTTCCCAAACAACGGCAAGACTCCTGGGGGCCGCTTCGTTTACATGGGACAAGGGACAGCCCCCCAACCCCCCTTTGTCTCATCAATGACAGATGACTGTCTGTCCCCACAAAGCCAGCTGAACAGAGGATACCCACGCCCGCCCAGGTGATGACCGAGACCCTCGGCCCCGAGCCCTCCCCGCTGTCCCAGGAAGGCCCAAGGCTGCAGTGCGCTCCCGGCCGCGGGGCCTCCGCACCGTCCAGGCGCTCACTCTCCTGCCTGCCCGGCTGGCCTTGCACAGCAGCCGAGACATGCCTCCCGGGGCCCCACACTCCGCCATCCCACGCGGGCCTCAGCTCACGGGCTCAGACAGGCCAGGGAGCCAGGACCACGGAATAGGGAAACTGAGTCAGACAGCTCAACAGCGGTTTGCAACCACCCAGTCAATCCTGCCTTCCCTAAACCAAGGACACTCAGGAGCAAATGGTTTGCATCTCTCCTCCCCAACAGAGGATAAACAGCTTAAACCACCCTGCTCGGGAGACAAATCCAATTTGTGCCACTTGCCAGCCACACCCAAGGGCAGATGAATTTCAGGGAATAAATCTCATTGTGGCACATCAACATAAAACTGATGAATATTCTGTCCCTGGTGTGGCTCCGTCGTTGAGCGTTGACCCTGCACCAAGAGGTCGCTGGTTTGATTCCCGGTCAGGGCACATGCCCAGGTTGTGGGCCCGATCCCCAGTGGGGGGCGTGCAGGAGGTGGCCAGTTGATGTTCTCTCTCATCGATGTTTCTCTCTCTCTCTAAAAATCAGTAAAGAGCCCTGGCTGGTTTGGCTTAGCAGTTAGAGCGTCAGCCCTTGGACCAAAGAGTCCCGGGTTCAATTCCGGTGAAGGGCACGTATCTCAGTTTCAGTTCAGTCCCCAGCCCTGGTTGGGGTCGGGTGGGAGGCAACCAATCAATGTGCCTCTCATATTGTTGTTTCCCTCCCTCCCTCCCTTTCTCCCTCCCACTCTATCTGAGGATAAATGGAAAAATATCCTCGGGTGAGGATTAAAATAAATAAATAAAAATCAATAAGGAAAAAAATGTTTTTAAAAGAAAACCTAATGAATATTCCCTCCCTAAGACTACACCCAAACACCCAGCCTTTAAAACCCCTGAAAAGAAAGGGGACATTTGTAACCCTGACCACAATAAAGACAAAGACATGAAAAATAAAGCCCCTGAAAAGAAGGCCCAGCCCTCGCTGCCCCTCCCAGGGGCACGCTCACCCCCCAGGCAGCATCTCCTAAACTCTAAGGGACCCCAGGACTCTTGCAACAGGGCAGCAACAGGCAGCAGCAGTTCATCCCAGGCAAACCCCTAAACCTTCCCCCGAGGCCCCTTTCTCTGCCTTCCCAGTGAGCCAGTGCAGCCCGCCTGGGCTCATTCCCCGCCCTTCCTTGTTGCCCTGTCCCCAGCTTTAATGAACATCAAAAATCACCCAGACTCCTGCTGGGACACGTTTTCTGCACGAAGTCAAGAACCCACACACTACCGGCTGGCCCCAGGCAGACCCACCCAGGGCCAGGTCCCCTTTCCGGCAGTCAGTCACCCCTCTGCTGACACGGGCCCCAGAACAGCTGCTTGGTCACCCTCCAGCCCATAAACCGTTGTACATTCTTCCCGCTCTTACCCGACCTTGTCTCAGGCATTCACTAACCCTAAGGGTCTAGGGGTCCACCCCGCCCCCACACTGAGGCACAGGATGGAGGAAGCAGATAAGATACTCACGGAGCTCACACTTCAGGCCAAAGATCTTCCCGATCTTGTTGATTCTCACCATGGGGGTGTCTCCAATTTTCTTCAGGATATCTGGTAAGATTTTGGGGGATTTTGCCCTAAAACAGAGGAGTCCGTGATTATTCAGAAAAACAAAACAAAATGGTACAGTCTTGGCACCAGCACATTCTTTTAAATAGCAAAGAACCACCCTAGCCAGGTGGCTCAGGTGGCCCAGGTGGCTCAGGTGGCTCAGGTGGCCCAGGTGGCTCAGGTGGCCCAGGTGGCCCAGGTGGCTCAGGTGGCAGAGCGTCATCCCACTATCAAGAGGCTTCGGTTCGATCCCCAGCGGGATGCATAGGGGAGGCAACCGACCATTGTTTCTCTCTCACATGGATGTTTCTCTCTCTCTCTAAAAATCAATAAAACATATGCTCAAGTGAGGAGTAAACAAGTGAAATAAAGTACAACACCAGGGGCTGGGTGGTGATCACACAAATCTACATGCAGGAGAAAGGTCCTGAAAACCTATGGAGTGAGCAGCGTCCACAGCTTGGTGCATAGTCAGCTGCACCACTGTCGCTGCCTGGGCTTGAAAATGCACCTCGGACACCTGTGGGCCTGGCCCACGCCCCGTGTTCTTTCCAGAGTCAGGTCTCGAAGACGGGGTGGGTGTGGTGAGCAGGCAGAATGCCGGGCTAGTGCCTGACCTGTCTTCCCCTTAAAGTAAATAAGGAGTGATTTGTCAATAAAGCATTCCTTCAGGGGAAATGGAAAGAAAGAGAGAGAGGGAAAGAAGGGAAGAGAAAGAAAAAAAGAAAGAGAGAAAGACAAAGAGAACGCACTATGGTAATAAGATGTCACCAACGGGCAGCTGGGGGAGGGACACAGGACCTCTGTAATGCAGCTCCTGCCAGTGCGAAATTATTTCCAAATACTAAAGATAAAATAAGCAAACACTGACGTCGAAACAATAGGTCCAAGTCCACCCTTTTAGAAAGTTTTCCTTGGGGACCTTCAATTCCTTTCACCTTTCAGCACCTGGCCCCTGGGACACCCCCTTTTCTTCTCTTTGAGAAAGAGACTGGTAGCCCGCCTGGCCACCAGACAAGCTGTGGCCGGGAGCAGCAAGGGACAGTCAGCCCGGAGGCCGGGTGTGAGGGTGAGGGAGAGCCTGGGCTGGGGGCAAAGGGCTCCTGACCCCGCGTTGGAGGCCAGGCTCTTGGGGCCATTCTGGAGGTTGACTCACTCCCTAGGTAAAGCCAAGGCCGGCGGAGACACGGCACTGTCACGTGGGGAGGGGCTGGAGCACTGGGGGTGGCGGAGGTCACACCGGCCCAGCAGGGGTTGTGGTGGCCAGAGGAGGCTGAGGCCCACCCACCACCAGGCAGGGGGTGGTGAGCAAGCCGAGAACTCAGGGTTCTGCCTCAGTCACCCACACATCTTTCCTGAGGGGGGAGAATTTACCGGGGGTGGCCTGTCTCAATTGCTTTCACACTGACAGCCCCCGGGGCCTCCCAGACACCCCACAGCATCTTAGAATAAACCCCAAACTCCTTACCAGGGAGAGACCTGCCTGCCCCTCCCGCTCTGAGGCCCCTCCACTCACTCTGCTGCCCCCACCCTGGCCCTCTTTCTAAGCCCACTCCACCTCGGAACCTTCTGGAATCTGTTCCTCAAATCCGCACTTCCAGCACCTTCTGCCTATGCAGGTACCAGCTCCAAGGCCTCCCCCTGGCCATCCACCAGGTCACCTGTCTCCTAGTCAGGACTCCCAAAGGCTGACTCCTCCAGGGACCTTGGTCTCGTGTCCTCCGAGCCGGCACGACACGGGCCTGGGCCAGCTCCCTCATAACTGATACCTGCACTGGGACAGGTGGCGCAGGGCTCCGAGCTTCAGGACGGGAGAGCACCCCTTCAGGGCTTTTATTTTTATTTTTAATTTTTTAAAAAAATCCTTACCAGCCCTGGCCGGTTTGGCTCAGGGGTTGGAGTGTCGGCCTATGGACCAGAGAGTCCTGGGTTCAGTTCCTGCTAGGGGCACGTACCAAAAAAATATCCTCACCCGAGGATATTTTTTCCCATTTATCTTTAGATAGAATGGGGGTGGGGGAGAAACATCTACATGAAACCGAGGTACGTGCCTTTGACCAGAATTGAACCCCCAACTCTTTGGTCCTTGGGTGATACTCCCACTGCTGAGCCAAACCAGCCAGGGCCCCTTCAGAGCTTTTAAAGAGGGGTAATTAGGCCAGGATGTGGGGTGCGCGTGTAATGCTATCTTACAACCTGGAGAAAAGCATCCTCCCCCCGCCCCCAGGACCCAGAGTGAGATCACCCACCCCTGGGCACCCGGGCCTCTGCCTGCCAGCCCCCAGGAGCCACACCTCCGCTGCACCCCAGCTTTCACCCACAGCTCGGTTTGTTTTGGCACCGAGGGGCCATCCTGTTTGGCCTGCAGCAAACTCGCCTCCTACGTGCCCAGTGTTGAGATATGTTTAGCTGGAGCTTCTGGGTTTGTAAATTTCCATTTCTATTTATTGACCCAGGAGTGTACCTCTTTCTCCACCCACACCCCTCCCCCACCCCGCCCAGTTCCAATTTTAAAATCAGTAATCATGAATGTTGGTAGAGAAGTTTATACTGAATAAGAATCAAACATTAAAAGGCATAGTCTTTCACTCTAGATTATACTACAGGAATAAAGATGATCCTAAAATTTAGCGAGCTCAGTTTATGTTTCACAATGCCGTGGGGATGTTGTCCTTTTCCTTCTCCGACGGACCTCGTGCACCTAGAGCAGGGCACAGAACACAGCAGGCACTGAATAAGGACGCACCAACTACACCGACGTATGCGGTTTCCACGCAGTTATTCAGAACAAGATAACTGCTCCACCTAAATCCCACTGGTGGGATTATGGCTGATTCATCCAACTGTCTCTATCCAACCTCAAAAAGAGGTCACTATCGAAAAGTAGTTACTGCCCTGGACGGTTTGGTTCAGCGGTTAGAGCCTCGGCCTGCGGTCCTGAGAGACCCGGGTTCGGTTCCCGCTAAGGGCGCGTACCTCGGTTGCAGTTTGTCCCCGGCCCTGGTTGGTTGTGCGGGTGGCAGCCACTCGATGTGTTCCTTTCACGTCGATGTTTCTCTCTCTCTCTGTTCCTCTCTCTCCCTCCCACTCTACCTGAACAAAAAATGGAAAAATGTCCTCTGGTGAGGATAAAAAAAAAAAAAAAAGAAAAAAAGAAAAGTAGTTCCTGACCAGGAGAATGTTTAGGACTTAGAGTTAAGTAGAAAGGTGCCCGCATGATCCTAACCACTGAAGATACACATACCTGCCTCAAACACAGAATACGGCCAGACAGACCTACACTAGAAGCCTCACCTCTATGGGTCACTCACAGAGTGTGACTGGGGCGCTTCCATTATGTATTCAGCATCTACTCTTGTTGGGCACTGACCTAGGTGCTGGGCTACAGTGCAAACAAGCCTTGGCCTCTCTGAGTCCTGGTGGATCAGCTATGCAGTGTCTCCATCTTGCAGTGTCCCCCCACCACAATGATTACAAGGAGGGGTGGTCACACCCCAAGTCCACATGGCTCTGTGGCATCCAGGTAACAGACGAACCATCTTGTGATCATAAACAGGGACTTACAAGGCAGTGTGGTGATGCGGAGAGTCGGTGATGGGCCTGCCCAGGTTCCAGGAGCACCTACTCGGGGCATCTGGCCGGATCCACAGGCGATCCTTGGTGTCCTTGTCCCCCGGGGGCCCCTGCTCCAGGCTCCCTTTTGCTGAGGGTGCCCCTGAGAGGTGGGGGCACCCTGCTGCCTCCTCTTCTGCTTGGGGTGTCTCGGAAGGCATGCTGCGATCTGTCCGGGGGATAGGGAAGAGAAGCCATCTGTTTAGCCATTCCCAAACGCTGCAGAGGAGCCGGGCTGGATGCTGCCGGGCTTGTTGTGAGATAGTCAGCAGCCAGGAAAATTCCAGGACAAGCGGAATAGGGAAACTGAGACAGAGTTAAACAGCAGTTTGCAGCCACCCAGTAAATCCTGCCTTCCCTAAACCAAGGACACTTAGGAGTTTATGGTTTGTACTTCTCCCAACCAGGGGGTAAATAGCTTAAATCACCCTGCTCAGAGAGACAAGTCCAACTAGTGCCATCTGCTAACCACACCCAAGGTTAGACAAATTAAGAGAATAAATTTCATTTTGGTACATCAGCATAAAGCTGATGAATAGTCTATTGATCTTTCCCTAAGACCTCCCCTAAACGCCCAGCATTTAAAACCCCTGAAAATGAAGGTCCCAGCTTGCTCTCATTCCCAGGAGCATGCCCGAACCTCCCCCCCTCCCGTCGTCCGCCACAGGCAGCATCTCCTAAACTCTAAGGGACCCCAGGAGGCTTGCAACCAGGGCAGCACTGGGCAGTGGCAGTTCATCCCAGGCAAACCAGCTCCTCTGGGACAAATCCCCTGAATCTGTCCCCAAGGCCCCCTTTTCTCTGACTTCTTCATGAGCCAAAGCAGCCCAGCCTAGGCTCATTTCCCCACCCCCAGCTGTATTAAACATCCTCTAAAGTTCACCTGGACTCCTGTTGTGAAACTTTTCCTGCACGAAGTCAAGAACCCACATACTACCAGCCAGCCCTAGGCAGACCCGCTCAGGGGCAGGTCCCCTTTCTAGTAACAGGCCCAGGGGCTTCTGGGTGTAGGGCTCCACTCAATCAGATAGCTCAGCAAGAACAGGCACAAAAACACAGGCACCAGGTACTCTGGACACCTCTGGTGGTTTCTCAAAAGGTTAACCACAGACCTATCCCTGCAATTCTACTCCTAGGCATCTATCCAAAAAAATGGAAACAGGTAATCTGTACACCACATTCATAATAGCACTATTCACAATAGCCAAAATGTGCCCACAAATCAAGTGTCCATCAATAAATGAATGGATATACAAAATGTGGTATGTTCATATAATGAAGTATTATTTGGCCAAGCCGCTGCTGACAAGCACTCCCCCACCCGGTCACAGGCCTCCCTCCCCAGCCACAGCCTGGGTCCCGGGACTGTCTACAACCCCATGGAGGCCGGGCCCCAGAATTGCAGGCTCTCCTTCTTGGCCACTTGCCTCACCCAGGTGCAACCTCCAGCAAGGAAAGAGGCTACTGGGAACACAATTCGAAATTGATCTGGTCCGCAGAACCCAAAGGCACTCTGACCACACGGTCTGAACCCGCAGGCTCTGGCCTGCACTGCCAGGCGGGCTCAGGGCGGGCTCAGCAACCTGGGCACGTGAGTCGTGGGGAGGCGGGCTCACCAGGCGCCACCTGCTGTTACTACCACACCTTAAACCGCAAGACCCTCCTGGGGTCACGATGGTGCCAGGGCATCCGGCACTCACGCACCAGTCAACCCCAAGGGGACCAATGGTTAGGGCCAAGGGTGGCAATGGTATTAAACTCGTTTTTTTTTTTGTTTTGTTTTGAAATGTTTTTACACTAAGTATTTATTTATTTTTTTATTTTATTTTTGTTACAGATGTTTCTCCTTTTTTACCCCATTGACATCCTCCTCCCCATCCCCTCCCCCGTCCCCGGCTTTGTTGTCCATGTCCATTGGTTTTTTTTAAAAAATCCAGTGATTTTTAGATAGAGTAGAAGGGAGGGATGGAGGGAGAGAAACAGCAACAACGTGAAAGAGACACATCGCCCGGATGCCTCCTGCACGACCCCGACCGGGGCCGGGGATCGAACCTGCACCCGAGGGATGTACCCTCCACCGGGAATCGAACCCGAAACTCTTCGGTCCTCAGGCTGACGCTCTAACCGCTGAGCCAAACCAAGCAGGGCAACAAAGTCGGTTTTTATAGTAAGAACCTCCAGGTGGGAGACCACCCGGTCACCAGCCTTCGGGAGGGGCACTGAGGCCCGTTTGGGATCAATACCCCTGGGGAATCCTGAGCTGAAAGCTTTGCGGGCCCGCCCCGCCCCCCACCCCCGACACCGCGCGGGGCCCACCTCGGCGGCCTGCGCAGCCGCATCCACACTGACCCCCGGCCACACAGCCGGCAGCGGGGGCCATCTGCGAAACAGCCTTTCCCATCCCAGCGCCGCGAGAAATCAGTGATGAACATGGACCGGCACCATTACAGCCGTCTCCCCAACCCTCCCAGGTCCCAGCACGGCGCTCCCGGGCTCGCAGCCCCGGGCCACTGCACCCCGACTTCAGGACGGTCTGGACTCGCGGACGGGAGGGTACCGGGCGCCGGGGAGGGGGCGCCGGCCCGCTCCGCCACGTGCGGCTGCAGATGATGCAACTCCGGCGGGGGTGGGCGACCGGGACCCCCGCCAATCCCCAGGCCCGGGCTGGGACGGGGCTGGGCCGAGCGGTGCTCACCTGGACCGAGAGCGCGAACGGGCCGGGGGGCGCGTCGGGTCGCGGCGAGCGGGGACCAGACCGCGGCGGCTCCGGATGCGACCCGGAGCTGGCAGGCCGCGCTCAGACCCTGGGGCCAGAGTGACTGGAAGACGATTGGCCGAGAGGCGGGGGCGGAGGGCCAGCGCCCGACCAATCCCGAGGGGCTGAGCGCCCGACGGCCGCCACGCCCGGCCCGCACCCGCGCCGCCCCGCCCCCCGCCCCACCTCCACCGCCCTGGGGCCCAGCTCCTTTCATCCCTCCCCCAGGGCCGCCCCGCGGGTCGGGACCCATCCCCCGCCCGCCCCAGGCCCCGCCCATCCCAGGGACCCTGCCCCCACCCACCCCGCCCCCACCGTTCGGCTGCGGCCGGATCCCCGCCTCCCCGCTCCCATCTCCCACTCCCGGTAGACGCCCCCGCGGTCCGTGGGTCCCCGTTCTTCTGCCAACCCGGCGGCCCGTGCCCCTCCCAGGACCTCGGCCTCGGGGCTGTGCGGATGCTCAATACCCGACGGCCCGATGCCGCTGTACTCGGGTAAATGCTCGCCCTGCGCAGCACAATAAACGTTTGTGGGTGGATTTGAAACGTGCCGTCTGGAGAGGGGCAAGACTTGGAAGACCCCGAGGATGAGCCTCAGCAAACATCCCTCCCTCTGGGTCCCCTTACACCGGCCCTGGTCCCCGCGGCCGGGGGATCCCCTCGCTCGTGCCCTCTGGGCGCGTGCAGTCGGCGCTCAGCTCTGGGCTCTGGATGGACCGCATCTGGGCATCATCGGGATTTATGTCCTGCCCCTCGTTGGCCTGGCGACCAAGACACTCGAGCTTTGCCGGCCGGCGGCACCTGTCTACCCAGCCGAGTGGCTCTCCCCCTGCTCAGGGGAGGAACCCGAGCTCACTGAGACGTGGTCAGAAGTCACAAAAGCCTCTTAAAGCAGATGTCACGCAGCAGGTGGTCCCATCCATGGGCCCTGGAGTCCCCAGGACTTTGTCTGCACCTGACAAGTTAGTCCCGGGCAGTGCCTCCAGGTTTGGATACAGGTGGGCACACTGAGTCACTCTTTGAGCACCTTGTACCTGGGCTCCATCCACCATTATTTAGTGTCTGCCATCAGCCACATTTGTCCCAGGCCCTGGAAATAGAGCCCAACCTGTGTGCAGCAAGAATTTTAAATTTTATTTTAGAGGAAGGGGGAGAGAGAGAGAGATGAGACATGGATGTTGACTGTAATTAACAACTATCTTGTGGGTAACTACTTTGAAACTATGTAAACACCCTTCTCAAACTTTCCATTTCCGGTTCTAGCTTCCATTGATGATTTGTGTGGGTCTGAATCGATTTCCATTAAAATGGTGACCAAAGGGTGATTTTTCTAATTCTATCATTGCTCCTACATTTATTATTTGGCATTCCACCAGGAGAGTTTTTCTTTTTGCCCACTCATTTATCAAGCCATTTATTTATATCAGTGTGGATTCATAGATCCTTTTATTTTAAACATATTTTTTAAAAATCCTCACCGGAAGATATTTTTCTATTTATCTTCATACAGAGTGGGAGGTAGAGAGAGAGAGAAATATCAGTGTGAGAAAGACACATTGACCGGCCACCTCCCTCAGGGCCAGGGACCAAACCACAACTGAGGCATAGCATGTGCCCTTGACCAGAATCGAACCTGCAACTCTTTGGTCTGCTGGCCAACACTCCACCTGCTGAGCCAAACAGGCCAGGGCTAAAAGCATGCATTTTAACCCTGGGTGGTTTGCTCAGTGGTTAGAGTATTGGCCCATGGACTAAAGAATCGAGGGCTTGATTCAAGGGCACATGCCTCAGTTGCAGGTTTGATCCCCAGGGTTGTGCTGGAGGCAACCAATTGATCTCATGTCAATGTTTCTCTCTCTCTCTCTCCCTTCCGCCCTCCCACTCTATCTAAAAGCAAACAAACAAAAACCAATGGAAAAATATCCTCAGGTAAGGATTTTTTTCTTTTTCTTATCCTCACCCGAGGACATTTTTGCATTTATTTTCAGATAGAGAGGGAGGGGAAGAGAGAGAGAGAAACATCGTGTGAGAGACACACCGAGTGGTTGCCACCCACACAACCCCAACCAGGGCCGGGGACAAACTGCAACTGAGGTACGTGCCCTTAGGGGGAAACGAACCCGGGTCTCTGCAGTCCGCAGGCCGACACTGTAACCACTGAGCCAAACTGGCCAGAGCAGGATTATTATTTTATTTTATTTTTTTTTTAAGGATACATTTTGCCCTGGTCTGTTAGGCTCAGCGGTTAGAGTGTCGGCCTGCAGTCCAGAGAGACCCGGGTTCGGTTCCCACTAAGGGCACGTACCTCAGATGCAGTTTGTCCCCGGCCCTGGTTGGGTCGTGTGGGTGGCAGCCACACGATGTGTCCCTTTCACGTTGATGTTTCTCTCTCTCTCTTCCTCCCACTCTATCTGAACAAAAATGGAAAAATGTCCTTGGGTGAGGATAAAAAAATAAAAGCATACATTTTGCCATTGAAAGTGCACAATCCAATATTTTTAGTGTACAAACAGTATTTAGTATTCAGAATTGCGCGATTATCACAATATAAATTGAACATTGGTATCACTCCAAAAGGAAGCCCTGCATCTGTTTGCAGTGCTTGCCCACCCCTCGCCATCTCGCAGCAGAAGGTAAACCACTCCTTTGCCTTGTTTCTGTCAGGCGGATTCGTGGAGTTTTGCCTTATGAAATAGGTTATAATCTTTTACTACCATTTTTTGATGCTAAAATGGCCCCAGGTCAGAACTCAAGCTGGATCTGTGTCTTTTTGTCATTTCCCCATCATTCTTCGAGCACCTCTGGTTTGGGGCACAACAAGGTTTTTCCAGCTCATCTTCATTTTCCCTCCCCCCGTCCTGGGAGCAGACATTCTACGACGGGTCCTTGTAATGCGCTGAACTGTGTCCTCCCAAATTCATATGTTGAAGTCCCGACCCCCTACCTAAGCGGGTAACTGTGCTTATAGACACAGTCTCTAGAGAGGAGGCTGCGTGAATGGGAGGCTGTTAGGGTGACCAGGACTCTCCTGGACAGACTTTGCTCAGCTCCCTTTCCCTTCTCCATCAGGCCTCCATGCACCTCCTTCTCTTAAGTTCTCCTGCTAGGTCAGTTTAGAGAGACTCCCCACCCCCACCCCATCTTCAGCTGCCTTTAGCAAGAATCCTGTGAGGTCAGTTCAGCAAGACTCTGTCCACCTTCATGACATGGCTCTGCTCCGTAGCTGTAGGTCCCCAGCTGTCTTTGTTGTGTTCAGAGTTGAGCCTCATCTCTCTCCCCTATGCCAATCAATAGTCTTCAGGACGTCTTCCTAATTATTTTAACAAGTGTCAGAATAAGCTTTTCTTTTCTTTTCTTTTCTTTTCTTTTTTTTAAGAATCCTTGTCTTTTATTTTATTGATTGATTGATCGATTGATTGATTGATCGATTTGGTACATGCCCATAGTGGGAACCGATCCCGGGACTCTCTGGTCTGTAGGCTGACGCTCCAACTGCTGAGCCAAACCGGCCAGGACAAGCTTTTCTTTTTAAAAAGATGTTTTTATTTATTTGTTTTTAGAGAGGGAGGGAGAAAGGGGCAGAGAAGACGCTGATTTGTTGTTCCACTTATTTATGCACTCATTGGTTGATTCTTGTATGTGCCCTGACTGGGGACTGAACCCGCATCCTTGGCGTACTGGGACGACGCTCTAACCAACTGAACTACCGGCAGGGATCAGAATAAGACTTTCTTGTGCAGGAGTGGGACCCTGGCTTAAACAACAGACACGTATTTCTCACAGTTACTGGAGGCTGGAAATCCAACATCAAAGCGACCACCCACTTTCCATCCTACAGACTGGAGTTGGGAGAGGGGGGACAAGCTCTCCCCAGTTCATCATGAAGGTTCCACCCTCCTGACCTACTCACCTCTCAAGGCCCCACCTTCAAACACCATCAGACTGGGGGTTAGCATTTCAACACACGAATTGTGCCCTGGCCAATTTGGCTCAGCGGTTAGAGCGTTGGCCCACGGACCAGAGAGTCCCGGGTTCGTTTCCGCTAAGGGCACGTGTCTCCATTGCGGTTTGTCCTCGGCTCTGGTTGGGGTCATGTGGGTGGCAACCAGTCGATGTGTCTCTCTCACATCAATGTTTCTCTCTGTCTTCCTCCCTCTCTCCCTCCCACTCTATCTGAAGATAAATGCAAAAGTGTCTTCCAGCAAGGATAAAAAAATAATAATAATAAAAATAAACATACACATTTTGGGGGGGTGGGGGGGCAAGGGGGACACAAATATTCATTCCACAGTAGGTTCAAACCCAAGATGACTGCTGTCTTTATAAGAAGACACCAGAGAGGCATTTGCACAGAAGAGAGACCGTGTGGGGACACAGGGAGAAAGTGGTCACCTCCAAGCCAAGGAGAGAGGCCCCAGGAGAAACCAACCCTGCCCCCACCTGGGTCTCCCATTCAGCCTCCGGACTGAGGAAATACGTCTCTGCAGGGAGAAGTTTGCTGCTGCCTCACACAGTCCCCCAAAGGCCCCCAGAAGGGTCTGCAGCTCAGGAATTGGCATGTGCCTGGCTAGACAAGGGAGTGAGTCTGGAGATGCTGAAGTCCAGGTGTTCGGGACAAGGACACCGCGGAGGAAACGTCTCCACATCCACAGGGTGACAAGGCGATGACCAGAGAGGAGCAGCCTCCTGCCCCTCCCCCGTTCCCGGCAATTTCGCTTTTCGTTCCTGTGGGCTCATCGGTGTGACGTGGACAGTATCTTGTATTGCTTGTTTATGACCTTTAAACAACACCTGTTTTCTACAATAAAAATAAATTCATTGCTTGTTTCAATAACTTTTTATTTGTATGGTTTTTTTTTTTAAATCCTCACTCAAGGATATTTTTCCATTGATTTTTTAGAGAGAGAGTAAGGGAGGGAGGGAGAGAGACAAGATCAATGTGAGAGAGACACATCAAATGGTTGCCTCCCACACAACCCTGATGGGCCGGGAATCGAACCCACAACTCTG